CATTATAACCAATAGGCCTTTGATATAGAAAAACTCTACTAAACTAATTCTTCATACTATAAGAACCTAATTTTACAAGCCCTAATTTTTCATAATATAACAACCTAAGAACTACTAACAGGAAAATCCTAAATTGTTCACAAGTTCAAACTCTAAACTGCCATGCTCACAATTGTTCAGTCTGAAACAATAGTATAAAATATTGAAATTCCAACTTTCCATGTAGAATAAAAAGTATCTTCCCTTCTAAAAACATAAACACATTAAGCTTTTGGGTCAATCGCTAATCTAATAGATTCATGTAGCTACAGTTAATCAATTCACGCATGGAGTTACAACACCTCAGTTTAGTAGAAGCTCTGAGGATTGTTGAATAAACATTTGTTTTCTTAACTCTGTTTGATTGGGCTAATTACATTGATAAAAAGGTTATCTTTGCAACTTGGTAAAGTCAATGCTAGTCAAACAGATGTCAAATCAAGTGCAAATCAATGACACATAGACCCTATGAACTTCTTTTGACTAAAAATCACCACAAGAATTAAGACCAACCAAAAATTTTTTTTTGAGACTTTATTGTGATAACAAATTAGCTACCAATTGTGCTCGTAGTCTAGAATCCATTAAGGAGCTATGCACCGATTGTTTATTTTTCCATGCCTACTATTACAAGAATTTCGCAATTTCTTTTAATATATTTTTCTTAAAATGGGAAACCCCTTTATCCAACTAAGCATTCATAACACTCAACATGTTCAAGTAATTAACTATTAAGAATTTATTAACATCAATAAAAGTTTTTGTTTTTTTTCCTAAATATTTTCATACGCTTTCAAATCCTTTTGTTATTTCTCATGTTTTCGAAAAGTTTGAAAAGTTTCCAATTCTATTTTCATTTCCAACCTAACTGAAAGAATGTACGGAAACGAAATTTTGATCCTATTAGAGAAGACGGGAAAATTATCACATTTTAATAACAACATTTGATTTCTTTAACATCAATTTATAACCCAAGTTTGACATCACATATGCACACCCATACAGTACCACCGAACAAAGTACTAGCCAAAATTAACAACAAACAAAGAAACAAAGAAAAAAAAAGCTTACTAAAAATAAAAATAAAAAGAAGAAAAAATAAGAACTTTTTCATATTTTTTATTTTTTAGTGAAATTTTTTTAAGACTTCTCATAAATATTAAAATTTTAAGTATATTTATATTAGGTGCATCAAAATAAATAGATTTGTAATTAAAATCTAAAAAAAATCAAAAATAGATGAAGACAAAAATAAAAGCCCATTTTTTTTTTTAAATTTCTAAACTCTATTAGAATGTGTGCATTTCTTAAATTTAAATTTATCACAATAGTACCTGTAACCCCATGCAAGGCATGGGCATTTTACCCTAGTATCTATATATCTGGCCCTAAAGGGTTGCACTCTATCACAAAAATATGGTTTTACCATAAAATTGTGTAACATCAGTAACAAAATGTATAATCTCGTTAAAAATTAGTATAATAAAATGTCCAAAATTTTGTGGTTAATGATGTAAAAGTTTTTGGCTTAGTTACGATATTTTTTATTATGCCAATTTGTAGTTAGGTTATGCATGATGTAAAAGTTTTATGGTTTTGTTGTGGCATTTTTTGTTATGTCAATTTGTAATAGGATTACACATTTTGTGGCAGGTGCATATGGTAGCATTTTCCATATATTTAGGCTTGAATAACTCGATTTAGATCTATTGTTATTGCATACAATGTAATGGGTTGGGCTAGGCTGTGGGCTCATACAAGAAAATTGTGGGCTTATTGTAGGGCTTGGTCCAAACGGGCCAGACTTCTATATCTAGAGGCTCTGAATTATAGGATTTTCCTTTTTTCAAAAAAGGTTTGATTCCCTTATTAGATGTGGGCTTTTTCTTTTTATATTTGTTTTGAGGATCTTTCTTGCACATATTTATAATTTTCTTTTTATGTACTAAAAAAAATGTAATTAAAATACAAGGAAAAATATGTTAAGTTTGTTGTGAAGTTTTCTCAAACCTATTATATTATTATTTGAAGGCATTTGTAATTCCCAAACTTTTAGAATTATGAACTTTTTTTTATCTTGTTTTTCTTTTTTTTCTTGCCATTTCTCTTGACAAATTTAAAATCCAAATGTAGAAATTAAAATTAAATTTTCTAAAATATGCCCCACCATTCCTCGGTCATTTGGCATATTAATTCCATGTTGATCATTCAAGAGGTAAAGTCTCAGAAAATTATGAAGTCCAAGTGTCCATCAATGGCCGTAGGGGGTTCGAGGACAACAATGTGATGTTGAATCACCAAAAACTCCAAGCAACTCATTGTTGTCCTTTGTTTTTAATCTTTCCTCAACCCACTTGCAAAAATATATATATTTTTTGATTGGTATCCGGCCGTAATGATTGACTAATATGATCTCAAAAATACATATATATATATATTTGGATTGGTATCTGGCCGTATTGATTGACTAATATAAGAGAGCAATCCCAACGTAGTGGACAGTGGGACAGTGGGATTAAGGGAAGAAGAAGAAGAAGAAGAAGAAGAAGAAATCATAGAGTCCACTCTTTTGCTTATGTCTCATCTCTTTACTGACAGACTATAAAGCTAGTGTTTACATGGGTCAATCGTAAATACGATAGTCTCTTGCTTAAAAATGCTATCTGTATAATTTGCATTTATTGAGAGAAAATTATACTACTAATACGTCTTAAATGTGGATATTTAAAAGGTTGAATTTGGATATTTTAAAGGTTTGGAATCACTAGGAACTCCAATGATGTGTTAAAAATACCAAGTAAAATAGATGGACTACTTGAAATTGACAAGTTGAGAGTTAGTGAGTTAGCAAAACTCTTGCATCAATTCGAAGAGAAGATCGAAAGCTTTCACGAGGAATTTGCGTTAAGGATGTGGTCGTATTAGGCGGGGAATAATGTCACAACTTGGGAATTTTATCAAATATTTGAGTTACGAATTCGATTTTAGATTTATGTAAAATTTTGTAGAAATCCCTATAATTAGGTAGATAATTGTAGAATTTTTTTATCATAAGGCGGTGGAAGGATGTAGATAGCTTTCATACTGCTAGATCATTGAAATTTATACATATCTAGACTATTAATTAAAATATATAATAGGCAGTCATTTGGTTATAATGGAAGAGTTAGATAGTTTCCACACCATTGGATTGTTGATATTTGTATATATATCTAGACTATTAATTGAAGATTTGAAGGCCAAAGGCATCATTTGGCCAAACTAACAAAGCAATGGTAAACTCTCTGTACTTCCAATTCGAACTTTACTTCTTGTGAACTGGCTATTTTCAAGTCAAACTCTCTTTACTTCCAACTCAAACTCTATACCATCCTGGAGATGCCCCAAGGATCTGTGTGTATTAATTAAAGAGAATATAATTAAAATTTTGATTTTTTAGGTGTATTAGCTTATGGCCAAATGTGTGGTGTGTATACTTGTATAAATCTGTGTGTAGTGTGCTCAGCATCTCCATTGGAGATGCCCCAAGGATCCTAATAATGAGCCAAGGCCAGTAGTATTGCCCCAACTAGGAATGGTGTAGGAATAGAACACCACAAATCCAATCCCACTCTACTTCATTGCTATTCCTACTTTTGTTTTAAAATTTTGCCATATATTCCCAATACATTTCCAAACACAAGATTATGTCTCAAGATTTTAATATTTCAAAATTCCACTACATCTTGTGGCTAAGAGTGTATTGAAAAAGAGGAAAATAAGGATATTATATGATAAACAAAAAAAGAGTGAACAGAGATACAGAAAAAGTAAACTGAGATACAGAAAATCGTAAACTATATCCTACGAATAACAAAATTTGTAACTTTTCAATGCCCTAGATTCAGCAATCCCTAATTTCGAAATTTAAAATCCCAAATTTGAAATGAAAATCCTCATTTATGCGATACAAACCTGAATGTGGGTGTTTGATGAAGGTGTTCCTTGTTTTCCCGGTGGTGTACTGTTGGCCGTTGTTCGTTGCTTCCTCTTCGTCGTCGGTCTTCCCTTCGGAGTTCGGCTGAGTGAGGGAGAAGAAGATGGGCTGGATATCAAAAACGGCTTTCGTAAAAGTAGAAGGAGATGGGTTTTGTGTAAAATGAAACGGCTTTCCGAAAACTGTTTTATATTTATGATAATATTATTATTTTAGGCAAACAATATTTATAAATTGAAAAAAAAATAATAAAAATAAAAATAGTTTTACAAAAACCGTTTTATATAAACTTAAAATTAATTAGGTGTTAAGTAAAAATGGTTTTACAAAAACCGTTTTTATGAACGAAAATTTTATTTATTTTTTATTCATCAAAAACGGCTTTGCCAATGCCGTTTTAAGGAAAACGGTTTTTGTAAACCCGTTTCACTCTATATTGGGAATAAATTAGAAAACACAACCTAAAATTGGACTAAAATATTCAAAACGCCACAATGAGGAAAATTGGCCGTTTTTCCCCTTTCTTTCTCTATTCTCTCTCTACATATGTCCATACATGTATATCCTATCTGTTTGTCCCTTCTTCTAAGTCAATCGAAATCCTTTTATTGTTTTATTATATTTATCTATTTGATTTTCTTATTTATAAAATATAAAGATTTTTCTCGGCAATATATATATATATATGTATGTATGTATGTGTGTGTGTGTATGCAGTGTATAGAAGTGTGAGATGGCAGCTCTACTTCTATCTTATTAAATCCAACAGATTGAGTCCAAAAAAAGGTCTCTTACTTCCATTCGTTGCAAATCACGAAGGAGCTCTCTTCGGCATCCTTGTGTTGATAGCCACACCTTTCTTTCCCTTTTCTCGGTATGACACCATTATTGTTTCAATCATATGTGCCTCAGTCTTTTACTCTGGAATTTTTTTTCTTCTTAATTCTATTTCCCTTTCCATCCTCTTCCCCCCCATTTTCTCTGGGTTTTGTTTTGTTTGATGGAAGATTGCTTCTAAATAAGAAGATTTTAACTTTTAAAGGCTCAATTTTTCTTTTTGTTTTTTGTTTTTCTAAGGAAAAATATTTGATTCATGTACAATTGGCTTTTTGGTGATACAAAATTATCAATATTTTTCCAAGGTTTTTGGGTTTTTATATTTAAATTCATTGCTGGATTTTTTTTTTTTCTAGGGAAAAATATTTGATTTATGTTCAATTGGCTTTTCGGTGATACAGTGCAGTTTCAGAGGTTTGTTTTTAGTTTTTTTACTTTTGCGTATCTTAGTTGAGTTGTATTGTAACAGTTTGGTTATGGGTTGGAAATTGATGTTTGATTTGAATGATGAAAATTTTGATGGGATATGATTTTAATCTTTTCCAATTGGTGTGAAAAACTAAAAAATTCATGGTTGCGGTTGCCACCACTGTTACGCTACAATTGTTATACCCTGCAACCATGTCAGCAACCATGTCAGCACCACTGTTACCATTACGGTTGCTGCCACCGCTAAAACCTTGGCCCATATCCTAACAGCTTGAGTTTTTAGGACAATTCTTTGATCCTTCTATTCAAAGTTCTTTTATGAGAATTATGCTTTTTGTGGTGCCACTACATCTATGCCATGTCTGTCTGAATGCTAAACTCTGATATCCACTGGCATCTGTTTGTTTTTTTTGCCTTAAATTGCTGATTTAGTAGATGGAAAGTTTTGTAAATTTAAAATTAAGAAATGGCTATAGTTGCTAATTTCTGTACTTCCAATGCACCCACTAACCATCACATCCTTTAGAACAGCATAGTGGCTGTTTATAAGTATCATCACATCCTATGCACATTCATTTCATTCGTATCACACACTTGTTTCTAGTAAGTACAAAAAGATGAGCTAGTGTCTGCACTACTTTTAATATTTATGGTGCACTCCATGTTTTTTGATACTCCTTCGGCAGTAAAATGTGAAGTTATGCAACCGCAGGGTTTAGCCCAGTGGCCAGTGTACCTCACTAAAAGGTCATGAGTTTGACCCGCCCATCCCCTTCAATGTACCAAAGAAAGTGAGTGAAGTAATATGTTTTGTTTATTTTGTGATTGTCAAAGCCTAGACTCTAGACAATCCTTTTCACCTAGTAAAATCTTCCTCAACATTAATGAATGATCCTTTTTTGAAAAATAAACAAGTAATTATGCTGTCCTTACAGATTCTTCAGAGTTAATAAAGGAGGTCTATGATGAACTATGCCATTCTAAATATACATCTTTTCCAGTTCTTTTTTATTTTGCATATCACCTTTGTTCTTATTCTTCTCCCAACATATATATATTTTTTTAATAATTGAAGTAGATTTCCTTTTTGTTTTGTTTTGTTTTTTTTTTTTAATGAAATGTAACACTAAAAATTTGTCAATTGGTAATATCAGCAACCTAATATTCTTGTTATAGTAGTGAAGAAACGGAACGTTTACTTGGTTTTACGTTGAATGCCACTTGTGGTTTTGACTCTATTCTGATTTTCTTGGAATCAATCAATGACCTGCTAGTTTATTTAAACCACATCATTATGGTGATTGAGTACTCAAGATGTGTTTTATCTGCAACCCTTTTATGAGATACTTACCATCGCACTGTCACCAGATTCATCATCCCCAAATGCTGGGGGTGGCTCGTGTGCCACTGCCTCTTGATTTTCTGCAGGACGAGCCCATATATGTTAATGAGAAACAATACGATGCAATTCTCAGGCGAAGACAATACCGTGCCAAGCTTGAAGCTCAAAACAAAGTCTCAAAAGCTCGAAAGGTATGAACGGACCTTATATTTTCAGCTTCTTTCATTTGTTTTCCTCCAATCAGTCTTTTGTGCCGTGGTATGGTGCAGTGCTGTGTTTATTTGACCAAAAAAGTATTACTTCTTTAGAAGGTGAGCTCCTCGAGTTTGGGCCTCTGAAGATTTTTAAAGATGAAATGTCATCTATAAATATTTTTAAAGATGAAATGTCATCTATGAGCAAGTTTTTATCTTAGGCATTAATTAGTTTTTACTTTTAATTAGTACATGGGTGAAATTATAATTCTATTAGATGGAGTAAACAACACTAGTCATTATCTTTTTTTTCTTATTTTTTATTTAAATAACTACACTATTTTCAGCTGCAAAGAGTAAACACAAGTATTGTAGATGGCTGTGATGCTCTGTTTCTTTGTAAAGAATGGAACTGTTACTGTCCAGGTGCCATGTCTGCCTGCTGTTATTGTCTATAAATTCTGCAGGATTGTGATGTGTATGCTTTAGTTTAGCTTCTATGAATAGCTGCCCAGGTGCTGTGTGTGAGTGTGTCTCTGCCTTGCTGTTGTTGATTCTGCCTTGCTGCTGCTAGCTCTGTTTGCGGGCTGTTTAGCAACTGTCTAGGTGTTGTTTGTGAGTGTGTATCACTATTTCTGCAGCTACTGCCTCACATGTACTGTGGCCATTTTTGTAGAGGTTGTTTTTGTTTGTTGGGTTTTAGTTGGTTTTGTCAGTTTTGTTTTGTTTTGTTTTGTTTTTTTTTTTTTTGCTGGGTTGTTTTGTAACGCCCTCAAAATAATAACATTAAACCCAACAAATAAGACATGCATTGATATGTAAAAGTTCCACATTCTTCCATTTATCAGAGTTTCATTACAAAAAGTATTACATGTTAACAACAAAAGCAAATGCCCTACAGGCTTACAGCTTTCCAAGTTAACACTTGGTTACAACAAAAGAGTACTAACTCATACACATTAAGCCCTTGGCTTGTATTTACATGTAATACATCAAAAAGTAAAACGACAACATTATGTCCGCCTCTAGCCTCCCAAGCTATGTCCTTGGAGGTGGCATGCTTCCTGCACCTGAAAATGATATTCCCATATAGGGTGAGCCACAGCCCAGTAGAAATACACTAAACCAACCATGAACAATGACTAAAATATTAGCAATTGATAGATGGCCAACACTGATACATTCACATAAATCACATATTTATGTCATACGACTATGAGTCCAAGTTCCTTTCATTTTCCCTTTTTCAACGGATAGGCTTATAAGCACTACCCACATTCTCAACAGATATGTATAACAACAATATCCACAGATAAGCATATAAGCTATATCCACATTCTACAACAGATATGTATAACAACAATATCCACAGATAAGCATACAAGCGAGTAATTAACTTAGTAATTTATGGTGAATTTACTGAGTAATTTATTAAGAATTTATACAAAATTTTTTGAGAATTTACTCATAATTTACAGAGTAATTCACAAAAAAATTTCTAATGATTTTCTAATAATTTACTAAGAATTTACTGAATAATTTTCTGAGAATTTTGCGCTGCCAAATGTTAAAGACTTGATAGTGTGCAAATACGCAGAGAAATTGGATTATTACAGTTTCAACAATCACCCAATCCAAAAAATAACTTAATGGCTTGACGGCGTGCAAAAATGCAGAGAAATTCAATTATTACAGTTTCAACAATCAATGAATCCAAAAACCATTTAAGAGCCGTTACGACCATTACCTAACACCGAAACGGCCGTTACACGTTTGAATTTCCGTTACACTGCAAAAGCGGATGTAATGCGTAGTGCCTACCGCCGGAATTGTTACATAACGGCCGCAACCGTTACGTAACACCGCTTTTTGAAACCTTGCTAATTAATGAGATTATTACAATTAAGAGTTAATTGTGATATAACTTGTTCATTGTAACATACTTATCAAAAACCCAAAAAAAAACATCTTTGTTATAAGATCAGGAAAATCATCAATCCTTGTGGGACAAGATAGACTTGGTCTTCAAATATGAGAGCTATTATAAGAGCTAGCACTCCAGAGATTGACATCTGCCTCTCATTGTCTCTCTAGAATACTTGTGAGCTTGACAATGCCTTTGTTATAAGACTTTTAGAGGTCGGATGCTTGAACTACTTTTGAATTGGAGTGAACTCAAAAATCAAGCAAGGAATTGAATTTTGTGTTTGAGGTATTGTTCAAACTATTTCTATGGATGTTTGTATCTATGTTTCATATATATCACAAATATAATCATGGGGATTGAGAATCAAAATAAATTTTAAATTCCTTTATGCCTAGCCTAGGTACACAATTTCCAACAGCTCCATGCTTGTATTTGGATGGAGTAACATAGGCAATCTTTTGGAGGACTGGATTTTCTGGATCTGACATTAAAACATGCTGATGTGAGATCCCTCGAGCGAAGGGCCAAAAATCTGGGCAGCAACACTAGGCTCCCAAACACAACCAACCTGAAACAAACCTGCCCAACACATCCTATAACTTTATATACCAGTTAAGAGGATGCAAACAAGATAATAAACAACTACCAACATCCACGGACACATGTCCGGATCACTGTTCAACAAGGGTAAACCCGGGATCGCTATATGTTTAGTCATGTTAGGGCCTGGGGCATGCCCCCTTGTAATCTTGTATTTTTTCCTGTTTTAATTTATGAATTCAACCACCCCCCCCCCCCCCCACAAAAAAAAAAAAGAAAGAAAGAAAAATGTCTTGGGTTTAGGGGAAACACCATCATCATCATGCATAACAAAGTCTATTTATTTCTTTATAATAGCTGTTAGTTAATTAATATATTCAATATAGTAACATCACATAATATTATGTTCTTTTTATTTAATTATTATATAATACTACTACTACTATATTATTGCTGTGTTAATTTTCTATCCATTATTATAGGTATTATCATTATGCCATGGCACTGATTTGAGCACTAGCTTTTTAAATTAATGGTGTCCGAAAAAGCTAATACCCTAAAATTGCTCATTTGACCATAAGTCTAGGACACTTGAAGAGATAAAAACTCTCTTTTTATTGGATGATGGAAAAATAAATTAGTTTTTCCAATTGTAAAATTTTGATGCATGATCACAATTGTTTTGTTTTGCTTGAATGGCTATTTATAGTATTGTGTTAGAGATATGTTTTTGACAAATGACTTTAAACATAATATATTGCTGACATTGCTTTTCATGAAATGATGATGACAAACATAACATAATAAATTTTAGATCACCCCTTAAGCACCATCTTGTGAAACTAAGTTGAATGAGGGATAGTTTGTTATTGACAGTTTTTTGTGAGTTTCCAGAATATTGAAGCAATTGATAGATGAGCAAACTTTGAAAGATATGTTGTTGCTATTCTGTGCTTTTTAAGTACTTGAAGCAGTGAAATGATGAGTTTCCACAAATTTTCCAGTCAGAAAGGCATAAACAAGATCTCTTAGCTGAGATAGTTTCAGAGGAGCAATGTGGTAGGGAACTGTCTAAAATTGTGACAGAATTGCTTCCTAATCCAAAGAGCTCTACAATTGTGGATAAACCATCCCGGGCCTGAAAGGTATGGTTCTCAATCTCCATATGTGTAAACTACAGGATCTGTCTTTAGTCCTTGTTGAGAGTAGTGATGATAAAGTGTTCTATTAACTTCAATGCTTCTACAATTTGCCAGAGGAGTAATGACAGAAAGAAGGTGTCTAAACGATTGACTGAAGAAGCAGAGAAATATTTTGAGGACTTCATTTCAAATGTTGAAGATACAGATATTTCTTCATTTGATGGAGAAAGGAGTGATGCAAGTTCGACTTTAGGAGTAACAAAGGCTAGAGATGCAGTGTCACATTCTAGGGAAACAGAAACAATGTATAATACATCAGGATCTAATTCTCTTCCTGTTGAAATGGATGGTGTTATTCTGCCTTGGTTGCAGTGGGAGACCGCTAATGATGGTTCCCCTCTTCCATCGAAGAATAAGAGAGAGCTTCCTGTGACTCCAAAAAGTATCTTATGGGATGCAACTCAGGTAACCTTCAAACTGTCATGTAGTTATAATATTTTAATTCATAAATTGCTGTTCTAACCTTTGCTGAATAAAAAGTTATTGCACATAACATATTTTCATTTAGTTGTAAGTTGACTGCTTCACTGGCTTACAATAGTTTCATTTAGTTGTAAGTTGTTTGCTTCAATGGTTTATAAGAAATTAGTTGCCTTTTGTACCTGTGATAAGAATTATACAATATCAACTCTTCAGATTTTAAATTATGGTTGATAAATTTTTAAACAAGATTTTTTTGGCTGAAATTTCAAGTTTAATAGAACTTTATATTTTATAGGTTGAAATTTGATAGCATATAGAACATTGAAAAGGGAAAATAAACAAACTTTACAATCTTTTTTTTTGATAAGTACAAACTTTACAATCTTTACTCGTGTGTATCTTAAAAGTGTAAAGTTTAAGTTGGTACATGCAGTTTTCAAACTTTGACTTTTCTCAATTATTTGGTCATGTCTCATTTGAGTTTTAATTGTTTTACAAAATTGTTCAAATGGCATTTATATAGGCAAACATGATGTGGTTACAATAATTTATGTTTGTATTTGCTTGAAGTCAATGCTATTGCTGTGTAATAAAATGTTGCTTACTTGCCAATGCATTCAACCCAAACTGTCTACCAACCCTTTAGCTGTCCAACCACCCAAGTAACTGGGTTGACTTGTGGCATCATGCTGATATCAAAATGCCTATTAACAAACATAATTAGCAAAAAGGATGAGAAATAATTTGAAGATAAATTATGATGACCTTGATCTAGTGCACTGTTCATAGCCCTGTTGGTGCCACAAGATCAATTTAAGGAAATGCTAATTTACTTCACTCTGTTTTTTATTTTGTATTTTTTGACAAGTAAATAATTCTTCAAGTCTACTGCCATCTCCACTTATTGAAAGGCTTTAAACTCTATTCTGGTTTTTAAAACATTGATTATAGAACAGAATGTGTTTCACTCAACCGACATTATTTATAGGATATATTTTCAACAGTTTTTTTGCATCACCCATCAATAGGGAATTTCAGGTCCTCAATTCAATATTGCTCATATTAATTTGCATTTTTTTCCTCTAATTAAATTCTTAGATTTTGACCATCTCTTTTTGGTTGCTTGGAATATTAGTTAGGTGATTAGATTTGCTGCAAAACCATGTTCTGCACTTTTTCTTTTTTCTTGGTTGCAACAATGCGAAACTCATTTAGGTTATTATTCATGGGTATAAAACGGATGACTTGCAAATAAGCATGCATTGTGGTTGTAACCAAAAGTTAATGATGGCAAGGAGAGAATCTGTTGAGTGGATTTTAAGGGTTAGGAGTTTAAAGGATGTAACCAAAAGTAAAAGCCAAGGGGGTCTAGGAGTTAAAAAGATGTAACCAAAAGTAAAAGCCAAGTGTGGTACAGTTAACTCTTTATACAACAGAAATGGTGATCATGAGGGCTGGACCTTAAATTTTAGAACTCTGTTTCAATGGGAGGTGGAGGAAATAATGAGATTAAATGATGCTCTACTTACTGCACCTGCTATTAGAGACAACAGGTTTGACAATTTAAGGTGGTCCACTGGTTGCTTAAATAGATTGTCTCCTCAGCCTATCATTGGTTTGAATTGTCCTTGGGCCCTATTTGTAGAATTACTGCCTCTATTTGAAAAAATGTTGCCCCTCCCAAAGCTCAATTCTTTAGGTGGTTGGCATGGAGAAGGAGGATCAAATCATCCAGCTATCTTCAAAGGATTGGAGTTCTCAATAATAATGCTATTGTTCTTTCTGTTTTCTGCAGGACTGAGGTGGAATATGATGATCATGTGTTATTGCACTGTCTGTTTGTTTGGTTAGTTTGGTCACATGTTATTAGATGGTGGGGTTTAGTTTGGGCATTACCAGGCTCTGTTAATGACTTACTCCAATGGTGGGCCGGTGTAAATCTGTCAAAACTGGAGAGGAAAATTTGGAATTCCATTCTATTTGCTGTTTTATGGTCAGTTTGGAAGCTTAGGAATGAGGTTGTCATTGATTTATTTCTGTGTTGTGATTAGGTGGAAGAATCAAAGTTTGTGTTTGAAGCCAAGATAATCCAGAGAATGGAGCTTCTGGTGCTATCTACTCTTCAATGGAAGATGAATCCAGTGACCCCACTTTCATTTGTTGATCACATTGTGAGGAGGTTTGGATTTGAGACAGATTTGCATTTGGAGTTTCTGTGGAGGTGTGTAGATAATTGTTAAATGTATATAATTTATGTATAAATAATTGTTGAATGTTTATAATTTATGGATATAGTTTCTTTTTGATGTTTCAAATAATATTTTGGTGGTTGATTGATGTTTTGTGATGCTTGTTTGTAATATTTGTTAAATTGTACAAAATTGGTCAAATAGAACTTGTTGAATTTAAAAAAAAAATAAAAAAAAATTGTATATTCTATGGCAGATATAATAAGTCGTTATATTACATATTTTATGGTACGCAATCAGCATCATTATTTGTCTCACCAATTAACGACGTGCAAAAGTAGTAGAAAAAGTAATAACGACGTACAAAATTTGTCGTTAAATAGTTTGTAACGGTGTACTATAGCATGTCATAGAAAAAGTAACAACGACGCACAAAATTTGCTGTTAAATAGTTTTTAACGGCGTACGAAGCATGTCGTTGAAAGTAAATGACTTTCTATGACTGGTCATAATATGACGCGCTGCACGTCGTAGAAGGGTTTTTGTGGTGTGCGTTGCGCGCCGTAAAAATCCTTTTTTGTTATAGTATAGTGGTTATGAGATATGTGATATTAGTTAGGATCAAAATGGTGTGGTTATAAGGTAAAGAGTGTTGATTATGAGATGTGGTTATGAGGTATGTGATCATAGTTATGAAATATGTGATATTGGTTATGGGCAAAATGGTGTTGGTTATGAGATATGTGATGATAGTTCATAACTAAGTTATAATCAATTTGATTCTAGTTATGAACAAATATAATTTTGGCTCATAAGTATAAAAAGTGACCTGTTTACCAGGTCATTTTTAATGATGTGGCTCAATCTTAACAATTAATTTTCTATGTACCATGCATTTTTTTTTAAAGAAAATGCACTCTAGAATTTCCCAAATTAACACTACTCAATTAGTTTTAGTTATGCACCTTAAAATAGAGTTCGTACGGTAACACAACACAACCCTGCATAACAATGTTAAAACTCCTCGTTGGATTTCAAACACTAAAAGCCAACAATGTAATTTAGGAAAGTACTTGAACCAAGACCTAACTTAAATCAAAATAAAATTTTTGGGCCTACAGTTTGGGTACTTGGTTGCACCTGGTTTTGTGCTAGTTGATCTTACTCCATTTTTACTTTTATAAACTCATATTTGGACCAATTGCTATGAGATAAATAATTATAGATGTAAATCCAAATGCTACCTTAGTGATGTAGATCAAATTGTAAAGTATTTGGAGCAATTGGATAGACAAGTGACAAAACAATAATTGTGAATTCATAAAAAGCATATATATTAAGTGTAACAGTAATACCATTTTACGTAGTGTTGACGGTCAATAAAAAGTTACAAATGAATTAAGTGGTCAACCCTTATCTCCTATTAACAAACAATCTTACGGTCCTACTGCAAATCAAAAATACTTATTGGATGATGATACTTATCATATAATAACACTGTTACATCCAATATTTGCTCGGACTCAAGCCAACATTGTTAGATTTGGTTTGGAAGGCCCATATTCTATCTGAAATAGCACAACAGCAAAACTCACAACTTTTCCATACCTAAGGCGGTTTTCGTGCCAATTCCACCGTTAAAACTTTCAAATGTTCATTTTTATCATTTTTTTTGAAAATTTTCATTTGACAATAATATTATTTAAATTTCAGTTTTTGATGTCATTTGTTTTGAAAAGTTTATATTACTTCCTCGTATCAAATTTGAGCCTAAATCCATTTTTTTTTTTTGGGGGGGGGTAATTTTTCATCCAACTAGCCACTAAATGGGTGGATTCCAACTTGAGCACCTTGCTTGATTTGATAATAGTCTTGGATAGAGATTCAAAATCTGTTTAGATCATAAATTTTAGTAGGAATCTGAAAAAAGAACAAAGAAAAAAAAGATAGATGAAATATAACTATATTTTGTTCACATTTCATCTAACTTTTTTTTTTTTTGGGGCAAAATTCATTTACCTCGTGATTTTGGAGCACTTTACCTCCTTATGGTTTAAATATAGTTAAAAAGTTTTGGGTGAATAATAATAAAAAAGTTCCCATGTGATTTTGGATTAAAATGTCATTGTTAATTTTTCCATCCAAACTAACAAAAAGTGTATGTATAGCGATCCCGGATTTACCCTTGTTGTACATTGATCCGGACATGTGTCCGTGGATGTTGGTAGTTGATTTTTTTTATCTTGTTTACATCCTTTTTACTTCGTATTTGAGTTGTAGGATGTGTTGGGCAGGTTTGTTACAGGTTGGTTGAGTTTAGAAACCAAAACTAGCTGCCCAGATTTTGACCTGTCCGCTCGAGCGGGGGTTCTGGCGCTCGAGCGGGAATTGCACCCATCCAGTATTTCCTGTGCAGTGTTGGACGCTCGAGCGTGGGATTGGCCGCTCGAGCGGGGTTCTGTGTGTGATGCTCGAGCGGGAGAGTTGACGCTCGAGCGGAGACCTAGTTCTGTAAAAGTTCTGGGAGTGTGCATCCACCGCTCGAGCGGGAGTCTGTGAGTGACGCTCGAGCGGGGAGTTGGACGCTCGAGCGGGGCGACTGGGTTTAAGTTCCGTGTTTTGACTTTTCAAATCACTTTTTCACTTTCTCTTCTCTCTCCTACTTTTCCAAAAAACACCATTGTTGAGCCTCTCACTCTAGAACTCTACCTTCTCTCTAGGTTTTGATCTAGTAGGAGTGATTTGCTCATCTTTGGCCTTTATAAAAAAGTTGTTGATCGTCGAGGGCTACATTTTAATCTGAAAATTTCGGGATTTGGAGCACGTTGGGTTTTGTCATCTTCTCCCTTGAGTATTAACACAAGGCCTACATAACTTGACGGGGTATAAGGATAGGTCACAAATGTTATATATATATACAAATTACAAATCATGTCTTAAATACAACATGGGATCTATCACTTACAATCGCAAACACGTTTGACATAACTAACCCCTAACTCTCATAGGATAGCCATACGTCCTCAAATACTTCAGCTTTGCCTTCGACCGGTCTACTAGTCTTCAATACCTGGCATGAAACGTCATGACCTTTGAATGCCTAGTAAACGCACACACACCCCGTCCCTTTTTCCCAATCCAATACACCATCACATTTATAGCAAGCAAGTAGTGAAGCATATATTCAAGTCAATAACAGCAATTTCAATAATAGAGGAAATGAACATGTCATTCAAATAGATAACAAATGTTATAATATTAGTGGTTAGTATTCTAGAAATCCCCCAAAGAGATTTCATCCTTCAAACCACAAGAATTGGACACCGGACTATTCGAAACTCCTTTTTTGCTACTTTGTTGCAGAACTAACCTCGGATGCCTACCAATGGTTATATACCGCGTAGCGCCAACCGCAGGGCCTCAAAAGGGACAACCAAAAAAAAAGATTTTATCTCCTGAATCCAACCTCATTCTTCCAAAAAAGTTTTATTCTCCTGAATGTCCCATCCGGACCCAAC